CTTCCTTTCTGCTACACCATTCTGTTGTGGAGTGTATGAACAACTGCTTTGATGGATTACTCCATGCTCCAATAGGTATGATGCCAGGTTTTTTTCAAAGTATTCACTAGCATTGTTTGATCTAAACGCTTTCACTCGTACCCCAAACTGCGTCAGCACCATTTGATGAAACTGTCAAACCAAAGATGGTACTCATCAAATATAGCCAAGAATATCAAGAATAATCATCCACAGACAAAAGAAAATACCGATAGCCACCCATAGAGGAAACACGATATGGCCCCCACACATCAGTGTGAATAATATCAAAAGTAGAAGAACATCTTTATTACTTGTTTTAAAGGAATGTCTACAATGCTTTCCAAGTTGACAACCTTCACACTCCAAACTGGACAAACTAACAAACTTAAACAACTTCGGAAACAAGAAATAAAAAGAAGCAAAAGACAAATGCCCTAACCAATTATGCCAAAGCATAATCTGACCCACTGACTCTGACTCAATACCCCTGCTAACATGATGACTCTGATGACTAGGAAGCGCATCAAGAAGATAGATTCCATTCACCTCACGACTACTCCCAATCGTCCTCTTTGATTCTAAATCCTACAAAACACAATGGCAGGAGAAAAATCACTAAACAATTCAAATTCTTTGCCAAGCTACTAACAGATAAAAGGTTAGTACTCAGCCTAGGGACATGAAGGACAGAGGGTAAGGTGATGGTATTGGTTATCTTTACAGACCCTTTCCCAGCAATGGGAACATGTGATCCATCAGCTATGGAAACTCTATCTCTGCCAGAGCTGAGGTGGTATGAGGAGAAGTGGAAATGTTGGGCATATGTTCTAAGGCTCCTGAGTCTATAATCCAAGGAGGTCCCTCCTTACCTGTAGTGGAAACATAATTTGCGATGGCATGTGAACTACCTGTACGTGCAAACGAAGTAGAATGGCTACCTCCTAATCCACCTGTACCTTGTTGTCTACCTGATAATGAGTTGGAACTGATTGTATCCCTCTGATTCAGAAACTGCCCATATCTCTCCAAATCGGCCCTCACTGCAGCTACTACAACAAACTCTAGGAAAGTTGTAGTAGGTGGTCCTGATAAGTCACTAGTCACTGCCATATTCACATATTCACATATTCACATAAGTCACCAGTCACTGCCATATTCACTGTAGCTATTGCAACAAGCTCCTTCCTAGGTTCATTTCCACCCTTGTCTCCACTCAGCTTAGGCTTCACTGTGCTAACCATAGTTGATTGCTCAAGGCCTGGGTTCCTCATCATCACATTCCTCCTACTCTCCTCTCCCGACACAAAGCCATATGCCTGAGAGAGAGAGTTACACTATTTTTGGAAAGAATATGTTGCCGTGCAATGTCATACTCGGGGTTAAGTCCAGCTAGAAACTCAAAAACCCTATTCTTCTCTACCAACTTCTGATAAGTTGTTGCATCCTTGCTACTTTCCCAAACCACAGTCTCCAAATGATCTATCTCCTACCATAAGGTTTTGAGGGATGAAAAATAAATAGCAACAAGTTTATCCCCCTACCTAGTAGCAATCACCTAGTTTCTCAACTGGTAGGCTCTAACAACATTCTCATTCTATGAATAGGTTTCTACAACTCCATCCCAAATCTCCTTAGTTGTGTTAGCCCATAAAAAGTTTTTACTTATATGGGGCAACATGGAATTGTACAACCAAGTCATCACCATGTAGTTCTCATGTCCCCACCGGGAGTAGTTAGTTTCAAGTTTCTTTTCCTCACCGGTGGCATACCCCAATTTCCCAAGAGCACCAATAGCCATCTTTGCAGATTGTGACCACTCTAAGTAGTTTGTACCATCTAACTTGACTGTAGTGATGGTCTCAGCCCCGAAGAGGTCTCCAGCACCTCCTCTCCTTTGTCTCATTTCACTTCCAAGTTTGTTTTCAACACCACAACTCCCAAAAAGGATTAGGAAATCAATTTGAGATGAAAAGAGAGGTATTTATCTCCTTCAAAAACCTCAAACACCTTTCTAGTAACCTAGAAGCCCATTCCTCCAAAGATTCCCTTTTCCATTGGAGTGGGAGAAGAGAGAGAAGAGGCTACCGCTCCCTCCAAAGGCCTCCAAAAAAACTGGGACTTGAACCGCCCCCTTCAGAAAAAACTCAAGGAACCCTAGAAAACTAGAGTGGCACTTCCTAGGTCAAAACTGAAGAGTCCTAAATCAGGACTCTCCCCCTATCTCCAGTTCTTCTTGATTTTGGTGTTAAACCCTAGACCAGCTACAAGGGATTGCAAATCCACCAAAAAAATCCAAAAAATTGGGCTTACCTAAAGTCTTCGATCAGCCCTTTATCTCATCATGCAGTCGGCCGATCTAGGGCTGCATGATGGAGCAGCCCAAGAAATCTTTAAACTTGCTTTGATACCAAGTTGAAAGGTTTTAATAACCAGTTTTGATATAAAATTTGTAAAAGAAAGAAGAAAAAGAAGAGAGGAAAAGGTTTCTGCTAGAAAGAAAGAGAAGAGAGATAGAAGAGAATGGGGGAGAAGCCAAAAAAAATGGAATCTGGACGGCCCTTTCATTAGATTATATACTCATAAGTAAAAGAGTGTACAAGTACAAGTATGCCCTTAGTAAGTCGGCTACTTGTAAGAAGCTGAAAAGTCACGCTTGACTTAAACATAAACTAATGGGCCTAAGGCCCAAAACTACCTAACTAAGTTATGTAAATAAAAACAAGTAAAATCAGCCCACAACTCAACAACAATCTTTAGATATTAATAGTTTTGTAGCTGTACTAAAACCAAAAATTCCTGAACTCAAAAACCCCAACTTTATAATTGTAGCCTCCTCTTCAGTTGTTATCACTCATCAAAACTTCGTTTGGATCAAATCAATCATCAAAACTTTGATCAGCATCAAGCATAGGAGAATCAAACAGATCCCAATGGCAACCATGAAAACCCAAAGAGGTTCAGCTCCAATCATAGAAAATGGTGAGATCTAACTGCAATGCAACAGAGTGGAAGAGAACTGGCAGTAATCATGAGAGATCCAACAATGAGCATTGCAAATCATGAAAAAATCTGTGAGATCTGACTGCAACATGACATAAGGGAAGAGAGATTGAATGGAAACCATCAGAGATCCAGAAGGATCCAATGGCAAGAATTGAAAACTTTAGTGAGATCTGACAGTGAGCATTGGAAATCATGAGAGATCTAGTGGGATTTAATTGATCTGGAGTCATTAGAAAGAGAAGTTCAAGAAAATTTCACAATACAAGATTTCTTTATCCATTTTTGCCCTATCAAACTCAGTTTGATTGGGATTACTTGTCCAGCTAAGCACATTAGCTAATGGCTCAAAGTGACTTGGCTGAGCCTAGGCTCTTCAAACCTACCTGAGTTGTCTGACTTTTTGACCTCAGACCCTTATAAAATGACTAAACTTGTTGACTTGGCCTATTTGAATCCAAGTTTAATGATTATAAATTTATTGCTCTGACCAAATAAAATTTATGAAAGAATCCAATTGCATCTTGTTTATTAGTAAAAGCAATCAAAAGAACTTTAATGAAAATAAAAGAAAGAAAACCTTATACTTGAGAAAGGATTGAGAGGAACAAAAGACAGCCTATGGCTGACATATATTTATATAATATCTGGTAAAAGTCCATCTTGGGTGTTGGGACGGATAGACTGGATAAGGTCCTAACTCCTAACCTTCATCTAGTGTTATGCATCTTCATTGTTCTTAATACAAGACATCTTTCATAAAAAAGAAACAAAAAAAAAAAACAAAAATGAGATAAGATCCTTTTTTCCCTCCTTCCTCCTCACCCTCCTCTTAAGGAGGCTTACACCTCTTATGTTCTGAAATATGCCTCACAACGCCTCTAGGTAACGGAATGCCTCATGCCATGCCTTGTGCTTTAAAACATTGGTTACAAAAATCCCTTCCAACCAACCTAATAAAATCGGACCAGATTTGAAGATAATAACCCAATTGGAGGATAAGGTGTTAGAGATTCCTTACAAGAATCACAAAAAGGGAGAATCTCTTTGTCTAGAAATGAGATGTTCAATTGTGAGAGTTCTGTTTAGATACTGTCCACACAGAAAAGACAGACCTTTGATGGAAAATTGGGAGCCAAAATCAAGTGCCAAGCAAAAGAACCATGTTACCTACAAATAACTTTGAGATCCCTAATTGAGAAGAACCCACATGAATTTGGGAAAGCAATTGAAAATCCTTCTTTCCTCCCTATTACAATAAACCCTGTATTGTTGAAAGCAATTGACAAGGTTAAAACAAAAATTTTCTTCCCATTGTCGTTGAGCCTTCTGAATTGCAGAATGGAGCCTATTATTTCATTTTCCAATATATATATATATATATATATATATATATATATATATATGCATGTAGAATCAAGTAAGAAATTGTTCCCTTATTCTGCTTTATTTTCTTGGGTTTATAATGTTTTGAATATGTTTCTTTGCATTGGTTTTGTTTTCTTCATTTTTAGTCTTTTCTTCCATTTGGAAAAATTGCAATGGGAACCCGTGATGTACTGTAGAAACAGTGTAGCATGGTAAATGACATAATAGCTTATGGTGCATTTATTGTAAGAGACAATATCACAAAACAAAGTGCTCCAATTAATTGAACTGAAGGGGTGTGGTCAATTCCTTGTTGATGAGAGATGTGTTTTTTGGCTCATGAATATGCTACATCAGTTTCTTTATAAGCAAAGATATGTCTTATATTATGACTCTTGGAAGAATATTGCATATTCAACTCCTTTAATCAAACCTAGTCTTATATAATGAACTGGACCATCTGCTACAACCAAATCTAGGATATAAAATATCAAGACAAGAGTACTACTTAAAAGGCCAACAGAGAAATACAGTAGATGAAATCCAGTTGATACATGCAAATACCCTGCCAAAATATAATTAAAAAGATAAATCTGTAAGGCCAAACTTACCTGTATCTGCCCACCATGTCCACTAACCATATCGATCAGCTTGATGTATGACCCTTCTTCCACTGGTTCATAAACCTGGTGCAAAAGCAAAGATTATCATGTAAATGCACCAGAAACAGAATAAAAATATCATAAACAATAACTACAAGTATCTAATAAATTTGAAGCTTAACTTCTCATAATTGGCTAGTCTTATTTTGAAGTCCTGTAATCCTGCTTCAAAATCTGGCCTGCAGAATACAACGAGTAGCTTTATTCACAATTTTACATTAAGATAAGAATTTAATATAAAACTTAAATTTCAATAATGACAATTTCATGTTAAGCAATGCCCAGCCCCAGAAAGCAAAAGCTATGTGCCAACTCACTCTTCTGCATAGTCAGGACTTTGTTGAATTTTAAGGCGTATATTTCGTTCAATAATCCGTTCATCATTGCATATTGTTTCCAAAAATATCATCTGAGGAAAAAGTCAAACATGTAATCAGTTAGGAATTAAATTACACCACTGTTTTAAAAGTGCAAGGCGAGGCGCGCGCCTTTTTAAAGCAAGGCGCAAAAATAAGAAAATGCTAAAAAACAAAAAAAAAATGTCAGAAAATAAAAAAAGCCAAAAAATGCAAAAAAAAATATTAAACATAATATTAATAAAAAATATAACTTTTAAATTTTAAAATAAATGTTTTAAAAAACCTATTATCTAAAATTAAAATACATAAACATAACATGTAAAGCATATTCAAATGTGAACTTAAAAATAAAATCAAACATATAAAACATTTTCAAGCATGTAAAACCCACAATCTCTTTTTTTCCTCAATTGCATTACTTAAAGTAGTTAATGTGATGTAAACCATATTACATTCCTGATTCTACGAGCTGCCTTTGTGCCATGCCCCTCGAGGCAAGCCCAAACAAGTCCATGTTAGGGTCCTAAATTCTTAGTTCTCACACAAAAAAAAAATAATGATTTTATAATTTTAATTGCTATTTAAGAAGATATTTTAGTAGGACGAATGAATGAACAACATTACCAAATAGAGGGTTCTCGGAGCTTCGGTGAGCGAGCGAAGTGAGTGAAATAAGAATTTAAGACCCTAACATGGACTTGTGTTGCCTCGAGGGGTGTGGCACGGGGGTCCAGGGGCAGAGCCCCCGGCCCAACCGCTAGGTTCAAAAAAAATGCAAAAAAGCGTCAAACTTTCAAAAGGCACACGCCTGGGCTGAGGCACAAGGCACATCAGGTATGCGCCTTTTGAAAGGGTTGCGCCTAGGACCTAGGCGAGGCGCCTACCCTAAAATGCACCTTGCTTGTGCACCTAAATGTGCCTTTTAAATCACTAAATTACACATCTAAAACCATTCAATCCAATAGTAGTTGACTAGAGGTTTTGTGAGCATTCTTAAGACATTCCCATGAGACCAGATAAACAAAACATGTATTCAATAACTATTGTATTTTCTATATAAGGCCAGGTTTGGGAGTGCTTAAAAATAAGGCTTATTTAAAATAAGTGCTTATTTGTGCCATTAAGCACTTATTGGTATTTGGGAAATAAGCTCGAAATAAGTGCTTATTTTAAAAATAAGGGCTTAATTTTTAAGCCCAAATTTCCAACTTTTTTAAGTGCTTATACAATAAGCACTTATTCAATTTTTTTCTTCCAAAATTATCCCTAGTTGAATTTTAAAATACCACTTATAAAATTATCCCTAGTTGAATTTTATAAAAGTACTTTTATGAAAACACTTTTACGAAAGCACTTTTATAAAGTACTTTCTTAAAAGTGCTTTCGTAAAAGTGTTTTCATAAAAGTACTTCTATAAAAATGCTTTCAAAGGTTATATTTTGAAAATTAGAAAGAAAATGAAGGACAAAATAGTCATAAATGCTTATGTAAGTGCTTATTAGAGAAAAAGACTACCAAACGCCCAATATAAGTGCTTATTTTGAAAAAGTTGGGTGCCAAATGCAAATAAGTGCTTATTTGAATAAGCACTTATTTCTAAGCACTTATGTTTTAACTTAAGCACTCCCAAACATGGCCTAAGATATTTATCAACTAAAAAGGTAAGATGGAAGAACATAAATGTATCTTAATGCTATTGAAATTGAATGGCGGTATCATTTTTGGTAAACAAATTAGGAATCTGCATCAATTATAACTTTCTCATCTAAACCTTAACCCCGTTAGGCTTCCAAAACATGTTTTGTGGTAATTGGATATACTATCTATTGAAGAAAAAAATCAAAGATTCACCTTATTATCAGCTATTTGCACAGTCTTGCAATATATTGCATTCATCTAGAACCAAGAGAATGGGAGAGGGGATCTCAATATTTTCTGACCATCTTTGTTGAAAGCATGAACGAATTGATTAATATAGGACATAAGCCAGTTAACACAACATGCTATAACATTAATTATCTTCCCATCAAAAGTATGAACAGACCAAATTGTTTATTTCATGAATTCAGTATAGTCAATTTAGCTTAGGAAAGATAAATAGAATGGAAAAACAAAATCTTGTGTAATAATTGAATTCCCTGAAGTTCAATGTTTCTGTTCTTATTTCTTCTTATTTCTGTCCCTTTATTCATCCTGTTTAACAAAATTTTCCATCTTAACGATTCAAAAAAGAAATATCTGTTTTTACAAGTTAAGCTTCAGAAGATAAAGCAGAACTTATTAACCAACCAAAACTTAAAACAATTCAAAAGCATCACAAGTAATTTTTAAGGACAATCATAAACATCAGCTAGCCTGTAGCAGCAGTCAACCAACAATGCACAGGCAGCAAATGGAACCACCATTCAATGAGTCCCACCTAAGAAATATTCTTTAATAAAATTCTAGTTGTTAAAAAGAATTTAAGAAGAGAGGTAGCAGCAATTATCCATCAGGTTAACTTTTTGCTAAAACTCTCCTTATATGGAACCAATATATGGTTGTGGCTTTGTGGGTATCCCTCCAACTGTGTATGCAAATGGACTGTGATGCCCACATGATGAGAATCTTACATACTTACCTTTGAATGACCATTGGCAGATTATGGTACCTTGCATTTCCCTTCAGCCATTTTCATAAGCATGTTCCTTCGTGTCCTGATACTATTTGTGGCATCAAATATTCCAACCTACGATTCAATCAGAATAATAAGAACAAAAGTATTTTGGTGAATCTTATGAAACTAAACATAGGAGACTCTTACCTGGCCACCTTCTTGCATCCATGATATCATATCATCCATTGCCAGGGCTGCTACCTAGTGGCATGTTATATATTAAGATTATGTCCAAGGAAGAAACAGTTAATCAAGTGTGAAATGAACCATTTCAATGCCTAAAAAATAAAAAATAAAAAAAATGCAATCACCTTAGTAAGAACAAACTCAGCATTTAAGAATATATTTCTTGTCATTTCTCCCTAATGAATAAGCTATTAAGGTGACATGTCCATCCTTTGAACTGCAGTTGGTTTCTAGATATTGGATTCAAGCAATTCAATGGTGCTCATCTGGACCAACCTGAGGAAAGCCTAAATTGACACTCAAGGGTACAGGTAACATTCATGCAGTTATTTCATGTTTTATATCCATTAACCAATACAGCCAACAAACCCACTAAAAGAGATATCCAAACCAAAAGTTGGCCCATTCAGAATATTGTTGCCATTCATTCTATAGATATCCGTATGGACCATTTATCATATTTATGACCATGAAAAAAAAATGCAAAAGATTATATGGCTACGACCATTTTCATGCCAGATTTTGACAATAGAAAATTGCTCGGTGTTACTGATCATAATGGGAGTTCAGCCCTCAGGTTTTCTGCAATTATTTGTAGACTGTCCACAGAATCTACAATTTAGAACCTTAGAATGCTATGGAAATATATTAATTCTGTGGAAGCCATAATAAGAGGTAAAATGAATATCAGAATCAAAATTCTATAGCCTCCGTAGAAGAGTGTCATAAAAACAAAAGTATAAATCAAAAAAATTAAAAAAAAAAAAGAATGTAAGCTCACTTGAAAGGGAAGAGAACACGACAGGACATAAACAAATGGAATTTTAGAATAATATGATTGTTTGATGGATACTCACTTCATTGCGTGCCTCCATACCATCTGGATTGTCAGCACGGAAAAAATCAGCAGACTGCATCAGAAAGCGTACTCTCTATTAAAGCTCCCATGTCTAAAGGATTGCAATGTAACAAAGAGAATACTCAAGCAACTTTGGAAAAATATCATCTTTCAGCAGTGGTTTGTTGAGAGACTTTCTTGTATAACACATCATAGTGAACCAATAACTATGACAGGCTCAGAGCATGGTAAAGGAGTTACATGTAAAAACCATTCAAACAACCCTACCTAATGAAGTAATTATACACCATATCCATGCATTCTACCATAAGATTCTTTTCTATATTATCGTCTTTTTTTTCTGTCTCAAACATGTGGACAAACACATTGACCAACGCAAAACAAGTAAATAAATGCACTTTCATGGTGGGAAGGAACTTCTTGCAATCAAAATGTAAGACATTCTAAAACTCTTATTTATGGATTTGAATCTTTCTGAATAATCTCCGAGAAAGAATGTAAAATATTTCTCATTTCCAATACATATGACAATATGGAAGCTGTTATGGTTGTGCCTTGAATTCTTTGTTGCGACCGGTTTCATGAGCCTGCTCTGAATTAAGTTGAGAAAAACCCGAAGGCAAAATTTCATAGAGATTTTGGTGGAAGCATAGTGGCGGTATGGACCCGATCCATATTCAGCTTATGGATCCAAACTGAATACGAAGAGTAATGTATTTCGGGGGTTTTCTCTCTCGTATACTTGGTCTTTGTCTTGTGAGAGAAGAGGGAGACTTAGGGTGTACTTGGGGTTTAGGGTTTTCTGTGAGTGAGGTTGTGAGTGCGCATAGCTCTGTATTCCTCTCAATTACAGATTACATAGTGGATTTCCATAGGCTATAAGCCAAACCACATAATTTGTGTGTCCTCTTTGCTTGCTTCTCTTTATCTCTGTTTTTCTTTCGTTTTTGGGTGCCATTTGAATCTGTATTTCTGGGTTTTGCGCAACAGAAGCTAAATGAAATTTCAATTAGAGGTAATCACAGATTGGGCAGGGTTGGGTTCAGCATTGCATATAAGAGGAATAGGGAAAGCCTAGGCCCAGCACAGTCTAGATCTTGGACATAGATAACAGGCCCAGGCTTGGCTCCAAGCAGGCCTAGGCCAGGCTGCTGGGTCTATGGTCCCTAGTCCATTCTGGTAAATCGTGGTATTTGTATTATATTTTGATTACATACCATATATAACTCATTTGTGCATTAACCTATCTATCTATCTATCTAATACACAGACACAATAGTAGGTTATATTCCATGTATTTCAACCATTTATTTACATTGTATAAATTCAACATAAAAATAAATGAAGTAGGTGATGAAACTCAGACTAAAGTCAGTATAGTAAAATGCAAGAGTACATACAAATACCATTTTTTAAGGGAAAGGAAAAAGTATTGCATTTCTGTGGCAAAACTATTACATATTTACATGTATAGAACTTACAAATATATTTATATAACATTAGCATTGAACTGGACCAACTTTCAAGAACTCTCTAGGTGGTTAAATCCCATTGAGGCCTTGATTCAAGTAAAGGTGAAAGTATAATTCTTTTTCAAGAAGAGAGGTGTGACTCCTTCATTTTATCCCATTCTCATTATCCATCTCTTTCTTGGAGGCCTTATGGTAACAGAACTGAATGACTTGTTACTTAAGTTATTCAGGAAGCCAGAAGCTCCTGATGGCTGAAGCTAAAATTGGATTGTTATACACTCAAATATTTTATTATTTAATTATTTATCCACTAACAAACAAATCAATAAGTCATTCAGTTCAGATGTTATCAAACAGCCCCTTATTATTTCATTTATTTATTCTGATATTCATGATCTTGACTCTTGTCTTAATGCACAGTCTCAATACACTAAACCTTTCAATGAGTTCTTGAGTCCCTAATCCAACATCTAAAATCTTCTCAAACTCATAATCCTAAAGATATGCATCCACATGCCTAATCCACTCTAACGCCCACACTTATTTTCTTATGCATTTTATAATTTCCTCTTAGATTCCTAAAATATACATAGCTCAAATTCTGATTCTCTTTCTTTTCAGTTTCTCCTTTTAATTTATTTTAAGTTTGTTTCTCTAATTGGAAAATTCTTAAAGGGGTGAAATATGAATAGTCTTCCTTTTCCAGGTAATGAATCTCTTTTTTCATTCAATTATATACACCACAACCATTTTTGTGATGTTCTTAGCAAAAGTAGGAAATCCAAGTTCCCTTGAGGAACTCATATCCTCATGAGAAAATGAAGTTCTTCTATTTTCTATGTAGAGAAGATGGGCCGAATGGCCCATAGGCTGTTTATTCTTTCTTGTTATTTATGTTTTTCTGTAATGGGCCTTATTCTGGGCCCATCCTGTCTATATTAAGTTCTTTGTAAATTCTTGCCCAACTA